GGTGAAGAAAATCTTACTCGGTTATTATAATTTTCACTATATTTCTAGATGCGCTTATATGACGGATATAAAACATCCATAACATAAGACCACGATATGCAGCAGTACTATAAGAATACTACCTACTATGATGTATAATCTACAGTCTTTATATTTTATCGGATACAATATACGGTACCTACCGGCGTGTAGATTGTTTGCTATACAACGCTATTACGTCCAGTGTCTAAATATACAGGTAAACGGCGTGACGTTATTTATATTTGGCACAGATTATCGTATACTGCAGATTAACTTCATTTACTAAGTATTCGACGACTGATAACCTAACGTACATTTGGGGGTCGACCTATACGGTTGTTATAGACCTAATGCAGAGATAAAATCTTGAGGTCGACTTTTATGACAGGGCGACTTGTACGACAGTTCGATTTGTACGCCGCAATTTATGGTACTTGTTAAAAATGAATTATAGATATCAATGCCTCATCTAATAATAGCATTGATGATAGTAAACACTATCCAGTAATGGCTGTAGCATGACGGTCTGTGTAGATACTATAAAAACAACTGAAATCAATATAAAAATGATTAATGATTGACAATACTTCACAGTAAAAAGAAAATCAAAGATAAAATCTGACATGTATCGAATTTTCTTTTTGTTTTTTTCACATTATTCATATTTCACCAAGAGAAGAGGGTTCTATATGTACATTGTAAAGTCATTACAAATAAAGGTATTATAGAAACTCATTGAAAATAAGAAAGGAAGAAAAATACGATTATCAATGCCCGCGAAAAGTTAACGATAGAATAGAATTATTCTACCATTATTGTACCATTCACTCCTCTAATTTATTGCCTTTTCCTTTTCGTTCTCTCTCTTTCTCTCTCCTTCTCTCTTTCTCGCTCTCTCTTAGTATGTGCGCATGCGCGTGCGCATGTGTATGTCCATGCGAAATTAAGAAATGTTTCGCAAAGCCTTTTGGTTTTAGCTTTAAGATTTCCTTGTCGACAGAATGAGCGAAGTAAGCACAATGCACAGTAGACAACTTATGTAATGAATGCGTTTTTTGCTTATCTTCAGATTCGACAAGTGAACGTCGCACGTTGGAAGAATAAATAGTCAATGAATTTGAAAGACAAAGTGATGGTTGTCCGCTTGTGATAATGAGAAAAGAAACAGACATTATTGGCAAAAAGACGTCTCGCTTTGTGTTCGCCAAATATAAATCGCCCACTTTCCTTAAATGGTATTTCTTAAGCAGAATGCCGTTTGCACACGGCGTAGAATTTATGGCAAATTAAAAGAACAAAAATTTCTTTATTTATTTCTGTATTCATTTATTTCGATTCCATCTTTCTTTCTTTTATTCATTCTTTCGTATTTTCATGCTTTTTTTTTTAAATCCATCTTTCATTCTTTCTTTGTTTTCCATTTTCTTTTTACATTTCTCTCCATCTTTCATTCTTTCATTTCTTATCTCTTCTCTTTTCATTCATTCTTTTCTTTTCTCTTTCTTTCTTGCTTGCTTTCTCTTTTCATATCTTCTTTTCTCTTTTTTTCCATTCGTTCATTAATTCTGTCTTTTCTTTCTACCTTTCTTACTTGCCTTCTTTTTTTCACCGTTTCTTTTTCATGCTTTCTTTTCTTTTTATCTCTTATTTCCCTTTTCTCTTCTTTCTTTCTTTCTTTCTTTCTTTCTTTTTCTTTTCTTTTTTCTTCCTTTTCTCTTTCCAATCTTTCGTACTTCTTTTTCTCTTCTCTTCTCTTTTCCTTTCTCTTTTCTTTCTTGCTTGCTTTCACATCTCATATCTTCTTTTCTCTTTTTTCATTCGTCCCTTAATTCTTTCTTTTCTTTCTTTCTTTATTGCTTTTCCTTCTTACTTTTCTTTTTTATCTCATATTTTTTCCCTTTTCTTTCTTTTTCTTTTCCTTTTTTCCTTTCCTTTCTTTCCTTCTTTCTTTTGTAATAACTCAATGAATGAATAAGACAGAAAACTGGTTCTTTTAATGTATCTACTAACCTTACTCTCTAGGCTAATACCTCCTCTCTCTCTCTCTCATCCATTTTTTTCCTTACCCCTTTTTCTCTCTATATGTGTAGATCTCTCTTTCTGTCTCTCCATTTCTCTCTGTCCCTCTCTCATTTTGTTCTATATTAAGTTCTCATTCATTTTTAACTTTAAGCAGAAAAGGTTCTGGCGCTTTATATTGCTTTTACTATTCATTATTATTATTGTTGTCGTTTCCTTCTCTATTAATTTTTGATCTTTCTTTCCTTTCCCACTCTCTCTGTCACTGTCACTCGCTCACTCACTCGCTCACTCGCTCACTCACTCGCTCACTCACTCACTCACTCGCTCACTCACTCACTCACTCACACACTCACTTACTCACTCACTTACTCACTCACTCACACACACACACGCATATAATCTTCCTTATAGTCTGTATATTCCTTCTCTCTTCACATCATTTCCTTTCTTTTGACACATACTTTTATCGCAAATATTCAAACACAAATGATAATCCATACAATACACACTCACACAAACACACACGCACGCACACACAAACAAACATACATACATATATATATATATATATATATATATATATATATATATAATCAATGTGAAACAGTTTTTCTACTTTAAATGTTTCCGTCATGCTAACTTGGCAGTTTCGTGGCCACAGTGATAGTTGGGTTGGCTTATTCTGCTATTTAGCACTCTAGCACAAAACCTGTTTACCTTATAGGCCTTTTTATCAGCAAACCACTAAAAAATCAGTAATTTTGGCTTAAAAACAGTCTTTCTCCCTATCTATATATATATATATATATATATATATATATATATATATATATATATATATATATATATAGATGGATTGATTGGTTTTCTACGGCTTATAAGCTTTTACAGATTATTCAAAGAAAATATTTTCAGATTGTAAGAACATATTGTTCTTACAATCTTAATATATATATATATATATATATATATATATATATATATATATATATATTGTTCTTACAATCTTAATATATATATAAATATAAAAGTGAAAATATAAGTCAACACTTAGAGGCGACAGTCTGTTTCATGCTATATGCAATCGTCAGGCCACATATGCTGTTATTTTTCTCGGGTATTTATATATATACGGGTTAGTGGTGCATTGTGGGTATTCTATTATGGCGATTATTTTTACCGGAAGTCGCTTTGTTTATTTATTTGGGTCAAATACTATATACTATATACTAACCCGTATATATGTAAATAGCCGAGAAAAATAACAGCATATGTCGCCTGACGATTGCATATAGCATGAAAACAGACTGTCGCCTCTAAGTGTTGACTTCTATGTTCACTTTTATATTTACACACGCTCTATCTCTGATATTGAGCACTTTATCCCATAAATATAGCACACCTTAAGACTATATTTCTTTATATATATATATAATCAGAAGTCCCCGTGATTTTCTTGCTTAATCTTAACTTCTTTTGACTTTTCATCCTGGTCGGGTTGAACCGGCTTCCTCCCGAGCAAGTACAGCATCACGGACCATCGCTGCTCACGCACGCCGATCCTGAGCCAGGTCACACGAAATGGCCAGCCAATCGCGATTCCATCGTCGAAGACCAACTACTTGTGGACCCGGTAGTACTGCTAGGCCATCCTTGATTGTGCTAGCCCACGCCCTCAGCTGCCCACCGACACGTTTTCGCCAGCCAGGAAAAGAAGGAGGGAGAAGTACATCGCTGATGAGCTCTCCCTCCGGGCGTCGAGCTGCGTGCCCGACCATCGGAGACGACGCTGGAGCAGGACAGGTGGAAGAGGACGGAGACTCGGGCGACGATGTAGAGAGGCTGTGAGCACACGATCTATTCGAAGGCATCGTAGAATGCAGCGACGGCAATCGTTGTCAAACACTTCAAGCCTTTGTAGGTCGACCGCTCTAAGTGGCCACGTTTCGCAGCCATAGAGAAGGATAGTCCGAACAACAGCCTGATAGATGCGCCCCTTCGTAGCCGTGGAAATCTCCCGTCGCCCCCATAGTGACCGTTTGAGATGCACGAATGCGGACCTTGCATCTTCTATACGGCGTTCGACCTCAGCAGCAGCCTGCCCGGGTGGTATAATGGGTGAACCGAGATAGACGAAATCTTAATTTTAACAGCCAAATTCTATCATATTCAAACTTTACGTGAGTCATTTTGGTTTATATGTGGACATGTTCTTCCTCTAGATTCCGAGATTCGTATTAAAGAACGAACATAATTAGCTTCAGATTTTGATTTTTTTTTATTTCATAGCGTCCTTTAGCCATTGCTTATAAATCTTCGAAAATGCATGGTTAGTTTTCAAACAATATCTAAACTAATCAAAGCTAAAATTATGAAAACTTTAAATCCGGGTCTTTCATGACGTAGATTAAGTCAAAGAAACATCTGTGTTCCCTGGTTGTGAATATGAAATTAAATTTTGATTACTTCTTTGAAAATGGAACTACACACGAAAGTACAAGACATGATTTGAACTTTTTTGACTCAGTTGCGAACGAACATGCCGCACACAGTAGTAACAGACAATTTTTAATAGCTTGTGCTTCGGCAGAAAGAAAAAAGACACAGAGATAATTTCCCTTGCCTCCGAAACAAAAGAATATTGACGGGCTAAAAATAAGAAATAAAAAAATAAAAATGTCGATTTATAAAGAAAAGGTAGGAGAGGGAAAACGTTTTTCTAAACAATATTGTGGCTTTTACTTCAGTCTGGTTTTATTATTTAAAGTGGTTATAAGTAAAAAAAAAAACAAAAAAAAAAAAACAAGAAAGAAAGGGTCGACTAAGAAATATTCACAAAAAGATGTAATCGTTGCAATTGCTGGCAGGTATAAAAAGTGTACTAGTAAAAAGAAATGAAGAGACAAAATGCTAAACGGATGTGTGCAGTCGTGTGAGGAAGGTGAAATAGGGTCGGGTTATTGAAATGAATCGAAAGAATGATTTCTATCGACATAAACGGCTTTCAAAAAAAGAGAAGCGACAGGCTGTTGTAGTAGGAGGGGGGGGCTTTGAAAATCGGACGGAGGTTGGAGTGATGAGGGGGGGAGATGACAGAATGGTGAAAGTTGAAAAGGAATAATGCCAAACAAATATAGATTGGAAAGAGAAAAAGACGAAGCAGTGAAAGAAAAGTGAGAAGGACAAAGAGACAGAAAAAGAGCGAAAATATATGACTGAAAGAAACGAATAAAGAAAGTGTTTGTGAAAGAAAAACGAAAGAACGAAAAAAAAGTATGAAAAAGAAACAGAAACAAATAATGAACGAAAGAAAGAGCGAAAGAACTAAAGAAAGAAAGAACGGACGAAAAAAAAAGATGAAAAGGAAGAAAGAAAGAATTCACGAACAAAAAAATGGAACGAAAAAAATGGAACGAAAAAAATGGAACGAAAAAAAATGAACGAAAAAATGGAACGAAAAAAATGGAACGAAAAAATGGAACGAAAAAAATGGAACGAAAAAAATGGAACGAAAAAATGGAACGAAAAAAATGGAACGAAAAAATGGAACGAAAAAATGAAAAAAATGGAACGAAAAAAATGAACGAAAAAAATGGAACGAAAAAAATGGAACGAAAAAATGGAACGAAAAAAATGGAACGAAAAAAATGGAACGAAAAAAATGGAACGAAAAAAATGGAACGAAAAAATGGAACGAAAAAAATGGAACGAAAAAAATGGAACGAAAAAAATGGAACGAAAAAAATGGAAAAAAATGGAACGAAAAAATGGAACGAAAAAATGGAACGAAAAAATGGAACGAAAAAATGGAATGAAAAAAAAATGGAACGAAAAAAATGGAACGAAAAAATGGAACGAAAAAATGGAACGAAAAAAATGGAATGAAAAAAATGAACGAAAAAAAAATGAACGAAAAATGGAACGAAAAAAATGAACGAAAAAAATGGAACGAAAAAAATGAACGAAAAAAATGGAACGAAAAAAATGGAACGAAAAAAATGGAACGAAAAAAAAATAAAAAAAACGAACGAAAGAAAGAACAATAGGGAGAGAAAAAAGAACGAATGGGAGAAGGAGAGAAAGGACGAAAGAATATTCAAAGAAAGAATAAAAATCGAGAAACCGAAAGAAAGAAAGAACGTTATAAAAGAAAACGAAAAGGGTAAGACAGAACAAAAGATAGAAGGAAGGAATGAAAAAGATGACGAACGGAAGAAAGAACGGACGGTCAAAAGAACGTACAGAAAAAAAGAAAGAATAAACAAAAAGAAAAAAGCATAAAAGGAAATTATAAGAGAGTAGTTGGTCTAAAAAAGAAAGAAAATCACAAGAATAAATGAAAGAGAGATAAAGAGAGTAAAATAGAAAATATGAATTCGATTGCACAAACGAGGTAAGAAAAAAATAGAGAAGATTCGGTTAAGTGGGACATGACGAGGTATTGTCACTTTGTTCTAATTAAGCAGTAATCGGTTTTGAGAAGTTAACTTGCAATTTTCTTGGGCCGAACAGAAAATCCTTACCTAAAAAAAAACAAAAAATAAAAAATAAAAATAAACCAACTAATATTTAGTTCATTAATTAAATTTCGGTAGATGTGTTCGAACCGAGAAATTTTATCCTCTCCAAAGATATTTTTTCTCGTTTTATGAAAACAATGAGACAAATATAGAAAAATCTAAAAAAAAAAATCAAAAAAAAATTATGGTATATGTTTAATCTACATCGCGAACTATTTAATCCTATTTAATATTCGTTGATGTTTGAAGGATTGATCGAGTGCCGTAGGGAACAATATCCAGCGGAAGCATTGGCACTGGTTATCTCTTTAATGTTCTGAACCTCAACGACGCGTTGATATTTTAGGGGATCTCTTTCTTTTTTCTACTTGGCGTATGTAACAATCCCAGGCGTAGGTATGCAGAAAATAGAAAAGAACACGTTGGGTGCATAATCGGGGGTTCCTTAGTATTTTTGTTTTTATTTTTAAGAAGACAGTGCTCCATACAGAAGTAGAGCTTTAATATAATAATATTTTTTGTTTGTTTAAAAATATGGAATCATATATGCGAAGGAATCATATTTTTAAACAATATATATATATATATATATATATATATATATATATATATATATATATATATATATATATATATATATATATATATTATTATTATTATTATTATTATTATTATTATGGCATTAAAGGCAAGAAATTTTTTACTATAAGCCATGATAAATTTTAAAACAGAAACACGAACACAAGTCGACCGGTTTCGTCCCCACCCGTCAGAACTATAAACAGGTAAACAAATTATGAGAAGAAAGTCAGTCGCGGATGACGTGAATGAATGGACAGGGAACAAATATAATAATAAAAGTTATAACACCAAAGATGCTAGAGACACAGCACCGCAAGCCCAAGCAAACAGTCTCGTTGTTTACAAAGAGGGGGTCGCCTGGGCCTGATGAACAGCGTCTCCAACACCTTCAGATTGAATAACGAGTGTGCTCTGGCCAGAACAGAGAACCAGCTCACACTAAAAGCCATAGCACAGATCAGATTATTTATCAAGTGATCCGCTATAGAATATATATATTATAAATTAACTGATTTAAAAATATGGTCTCATCGCTACACAGAAATTACCATGTTTCAAAATCAGAAAACAAAAACTTCAAATTCAATTATATTAAATTAAAAGCATTAGTTCTGTTTCAAGCGAAATTTGGAATATATATATATATATATATATATATATATATATATGTGTGTGTGTGTGTGTGTGTGTGTGTGTGTGTGTGTGTGTGTAAATAAAAAAGAAAGAACAGTAAGATATAAACATGGTTAGAACTGTGCAGCGAAAAAAAACATATTTTAAATCAATTAATTTATAATATATATATATATATATATATATATATATATATATATATATATATATATATATATGAGAGAAAGAAGGGATGAAATAAAATTCCGATGTTCGTTGCATTTACTTTGTTTTAAAAAAGTGCTTAGTGCAAAAGTAGAGCAATATATATATATATATATATATATATTTTATTTATATGTTTATTCAAAAACGTGTTGAAATCGCTACACAATTGCTTTCATGTTTCGGTACTATGTTGTACTTCTTCAGGCAAATGGTACCATCTTTTTAAAAATCACATAAGTTACCTCCCTTGCATGCAGATAAAAAATATTTTGAATTGACGGTGTTAACGCATAACACATTCATAGATATGCAGCCCCGGAAGATTGAAAGTACGTGGGAAAATAAAATCATTTGAAAGAAAATTTTAGAAATTTTTCTTCATCAATTTTCTAGATCCACCAAGAAATTAATTCGTAGACTTGAAAGGATTAAAACTAAAACAGACATAATACGTCTAGATTATGGAACCAAACATGCTTCAAATTTTCCATATATATATATATATAATTTCTCAGAGTTAACCTGTAGAAAAAGACAATATGTATAAAGGTAAAAGACAATAAGAAAACTGTATTATTAGCCGACGCATTTTGTCCAATGTGGACTTTTCAAGGCAAGAACGAAATGAATTTATTGAAAACAAAGTACCTATCAACAACAAAACAAAATGTCCCCAGTAACTGGAAGAATTTAGAAAACGCTATTGTATTCATATTTTTAACAGAAAATTACGTCTAATCCTTCCACACGTAGAAATTTTGTTTTTATTGTTGTGTTGACGGATTCAACCATTTTCTTTTGATTTCTTGATATAGGTGTTGCGTGTGTTGGCTTGGAATTTAAATTAAATTTGTTAAACAGAATTACTACTCTCCCAAGTCAATATATACGCCTATATCATGAAAACAAGTAAAATAGTAAATAGTTTTCTCCATTTTATTTGAGGGGAGAAGAGGTGGATTCATATCTTTCCAAAGGTATTTGCCCGTAAGTAATGAACACGACTGGAATTGGAACACGGTTCTCCGAGTAATAATTCCAAAAAAATTATCCATTACACCACCCGCACATTCAAACTTATAGTACCTAGTAATTCCCAAACGGTACTGGCAAGGCTCGACGTTGCTTAACTTTAGTGATTGTACGGGAACTGCTGTTTCACCGTGTTGTGGATATTTTCTTTTTTTTCTTTTTCTTTTTTTGTTTTCGTGTGAATATTGCATTAACAATTTTTCCTAATCCAAATCTTACTGTTTAATCTATAGCACATGGAAGATGTGTTTTTTTCGTCTGTTATACTACAGAAAGTAACAACAGTTTTCTGTGCGACGGGCAACAACACTTCAGTTCAGATACCGCGACATAGCTGACTTTTCATGGTTCTACTCCAGACTCTCGAATTAATTCCAATTCTCTCAAATTAGAGGCAAGAAAACAATACTTGCATTTTGTTATTTACGTCCAAGATTCGAAAAAAAAAAGCAGAGGAAATTGAATTTTTTCATCATTGTCATAAAAATGTCTGATATTCCAGAATTTTCTTTGATGTGTTTAATGAGGCAGCCTAAAAAATGGGACAGTATTGACCTCATCTGGATTAGACCTCTTGTAGATATAGAGAGAAAACTCTTTTGATGTGTTTCATAATTTTCTGAAAAAGCATTGTGCTTGGAAATTGATGTCTCACCTAATGACACAACGGAAGGGACAAAAGACCGCGGTATGACATTTAAGAAGAACCAGATACAAAGGGAATATGGCTGACCGAAAGAGGAGGGCAGCGAAATAAACAAATGGCTAAAGTGGACAGAGAGATCGAAGCGGGTATAGACGACGGAAACAGAAGGGAGGAGAAAAAGAAAGAATAGAAAAAGGGGTTGGCCGAACAAAAGGGAAGGAAAGACAGAGAACAACGAATTGAAGAGAGAATGGTAGGACGACAGAATGAAAAAGAGACAACGAATAGACAAGCACGCGGCCTAACGAAAGAGAAAAAGAACAGAATACGAGAAGGAAAAACAATAATCATAAAAAGATGTTATGGTCGATTGAAAGAGAAGAAAAGAGAACGAACGAAGAAGAGAGGAGTGTATGGCCATTTTTAAACGAAGTAAAGAGATCATGGAGAACAAAGAAGAAATGGCTGAACGAGAAGAGAAAGAGAGAAAAAAACAAAGAATAGAAAAGGAGAACGAAGACTGAATTTTAAAAGAGAAGAACAGAAAAAGAAGAGAAGAAGAAGGAGGATAGAAAAAGTATGGAAGAAGTAAGAAAGAAAAAGTACAAAAGAAGGAAAGAAAAAGAAAAGAAAAGGGAACAGAAGAAGAAGAAGAAGAAGAAGGAATGAAAAAGAACAGAAGAAGAAGAAGGAATGAAAAAGAACAGAAGCAGGAAAGAAAAAAGAACTGAAGGAGAAAATGAAAGAAAAAGAGCAGAAGAGAAAGAAGGAAAGAAAATGAACGAAAGAAGAAGAAGAAAAGGAAAAGAACAGAAGGAAAGAACAAAAAAACAAAAGAATGGAATAAAAATGACAGAAGAAGAAAAAGGAAAGAAAAACCGAAAAAAAGAAGCATAGAAAAAAAAAAACAAGCAGAGAAATAAAAAGAACAGAAAAAAAAGGAAAAACGCAAAATTGAGAGATACAAAGAAACATTTGATGAAGAACGAATAAAAGAAAATATAATGAATGATAAAATGAAAAAGAAAAATGAGTGAAAGAATAAACGAAAAAAGCATAAATATTAGAAGGAAGGAAAAAAAAGAAAGTTAGAATGAATGAAAGACAATGAAAATGGCGAAAAATGAAAGTAAAAAGAATGAAAAAATAATGAATGAATAACTGAAAAAAATGAACGAAAAAAGGTGAAGGTGAGAATGAAAGAATGGGCACTGGAAAGAAGCAACTGAAAGAAAGGGAGAATGAACGGGTATATACAACAAACTATTGAATGAAGGTAGAATAAAAGAATGAATAAAAAAGAAAATATTGAACGATAGGGATAATGAATTAGAGAATTTAAATGAGAGGCTGAAAAAACAAAGAAAGAAAGAAAGAAAGAAAGAAAGAAAGAAAGAAAGAAAGAAAGACATTTAAAGAGGAATAATATCGGGAAATGTTGACAATGGAGAATTTTAAAAAAATGGGAAGAAATGTGAAGGAAGAGAGGAAAGAAGAAGAAGAAAAGAAAAGAAAAGAAGTAAAAAAGGAGGAGAGGAAAGAAGAAGAAGAAGAAGAAGAAGAAGAAGAAGAAAAAAAAGGAAGAGAAGAAAGAAGAAGAAAAGAAAAGAAGTAAAAAAGGAGGAGAGGAAAGAAGAAGAAAAGAAGTAAAACAGGAAGAGAGGAAAGAAGAAGAAGAAGAAGAAGAAGAAAAGAAAAGTAAAAAAGAAAAAGAGGAAAGAAGAAGAAAAGAAAAGTAAAAAAGGAGGAGAGGAAAGAAGAAAAGAAAAGAAGTAAAAAAGGAAGAGAGGAAAGAAGAAGAAGAAGAAGAAGAAAAGAAAAGAAGTAAAAAAGGAAGAGAAGGGAGGTTAATTTCGTCGAAGAAAGAAATGAAAATATGCGTGGAGATAAAAACTGACTGATGCAAAAGAGAATGAGGAAAAAAGAAAAGCAAGGGAATGTTTGGAGGAACAACGAAAGCAAAGCTGAAAAAGAGAGAGAGAGAGAGCGAGATAAGAAAAAAAAAAACAAAAACATTATAAATAAAAGAGAGAATGAAAGAAAGCAGATTTAAGGATAAAGGTTGCAAAGTCACCGCCCGAAAATGTCATTGGTCATCAGACATTGATCTGTCCCTTTTTAGGATACAGTCCAAGCACATAAAACGAGAGAAGAGAAAATAACGCTCCATTGTGGGTACTGACATGAACCTCATAACGAGTGAAATGTAAACTTAGGCGGTGTAAACTGATAAAGTGTCCCACTTTTTAAAAGGTGGACATGGATGCTTTTTTGCGCTTGTCAAAGATCCTCTTAGATATAATGGCGCCAAAATTGCAAATGGAGGCTATGACGAAGCCAGAGAAAAATTGATGTCTGCATTTGCCGTATAAGCAGATGCCTTTTGCAGTTCATGAGTTATAATTGAATTTTAACCTCGTTGAAAGAGGTGACCTCGATATGAAGAGCATTGACCTCTGTCTTCATTAAGGTCGCTGCGTTCGTTTTCAGGGTAGCTAAATACAGTGCAACATTTTTTTTTTTCTGACTGTGGTGGAAGCGGCCTGAGTAAGGCTGTCTACAGAAGTTAGCCAAAAATACTAAATAGTTCTGTCAGGCGTTTGAGAGAGAGAATATGTTAAAAAAAAAAAAGAAGCAAAAAAAAAAAACGGATTTTTCAATCAGAGAAATCCGAACGGCGCGGTTTCATAGTCAAATAAATAAAATCTCTAAAAATAATCTGGAGATCGAGGAAATAAATGCTTTCTTTAGAAATTACATAGGAGCTTCTGGCAAAATTGAGAATCAATCATTTCTATGAATCATAATGAGGAAAGAATACTTGGAGAATTTAAAACTCATACGATGCAAAAAAGGTAAGGTTAACTTACTTAAAAAGTTCTTTACGAAGTACAGTTTAGTTTTGTCATATAGCCACAACTATCGAGTTGCAATTCAGGATCGAACTCACTATTCAGAGGGTATTATTGGTCAATCAGACTAATTCGTTGTCCACTGGTCCAAACGCTGTGCTATTTGTTATTAACAATGCTTTATTTGTATTAAATAAAAGATACAGTTCGAAATTCGCTGACGGTAACCAGGATAGAAACCTGAAGAAGGTCAGAGGTCCCAGCAGCCGTAATGTTGTGATAATAATGAGCGTATTAATTCGAATGTGAATACTGAAAACTCTGCAAAATATGACAGAACCTTATTTAAATATATATATATATATATATATATATATATATATATATATATATATATATATATATATATATATATATATATATATATATATATATATATATATATTTTATTTCATTTTTCATATATAGTGATTTTTCTGAGCGTAGCTTAGGTGTGTACAAGTGTGAGGCACACAGTGAGGTGAACTCTACTCAGTTGTAAGTGCACTCATATATATATATATATATATATATATATATATATATATATATATGAAGTGTAAGTTGAGTTAATGCCAATGTCTACCACATCGAAATGGCAAATGATTTTCTCACCGTAGATTAGATGTGGCACCTGACTGAAAGTATGGAACACCCAGTGAGGATCGAATTCACTATTCAGTCATAATTGACTGAGCGAAACAGGCTGCATTACACCACGTCGAAATGCCCTCATATATATATATATATATATATATATATATATATATATATATATATATTCAAACCTAGTGATCCAGACTAGTGAGGTTTATCTAGGTCTGCTCTACGGTTGTATTGAGCTCTTTTTACTTAGTTGTTTACTCGTGTCGGGTTTTTTCTTTGGGCTTCAAATCTGTATCTGTGCGATTTTTTTCGACAGACTTTCATGTTTCTCGCTCTTTCTTTTTTTACAACCTTATTTTCATTCGAGATTGATTTGATTATTGGCAAATCAAAAATTCGAAGGTTTTTCGAAACGAGTATAGTTACCTATATATATATATATATATATATATATATATATATATATATATATATATACAAGTGTAAGGTTGGTTAGTATAAATGTCTAAACATTATATTTTTTAAACAGTGCACAATAGTAGTAGAACTTAATAATAATAATATTTACTAACAATTATAACAAAAAACATGTTAAAGACCACTACATAAACATAATACACATACAGGCACACACACAAACACACACAAACACCCCCCACACATATATATATATATATATATATATATGAAATTTCATGATATATTATATATGCATGCGGTACTCATATCCACACAACTATACACAATATATATATATATATATATATATATATATATATATATTGCGTAATTTTTTAAAAAAAAAAATATATATATATATATATATATATATATATATATATATATATATATATATATATATATGTAAGCAAATGTAAATGGAATTAGATCCGACAGAATGAAGAAAATTTGGAAAAAACAAACAAAAATCCTTAAATGCAATTATGTTGTCTAAAATGAATGAATTCATTTTAAACAACATAATTGCATTTAAGGATTTTTGTTTGTTTTTTCCAAATTTTTCTTCATATATATATATATATATATATATATATATATAGATTTAAAAGTCTGATACCATTTTGGAAAAGGTATATTTCGCATATATATTCCCAGAAATTCAAACACAAATAAGCTCATAATATGTCATGGCAGAGAAAGAGAGAGTGTGTGTGTGAGAGAGAGAGAGAGAGACAGGCAGACAGACAAACAGACAGACAGAGTGAGTTGTTTTATAAGAACTTATCACATCGCAAATCTACCCCCCCTTGCACTGTAAGGAGTAAATTTTCAGAAGAAAAGAAGGTACTACATTTAGATGAAGCATTTTCAATTCTTATTACCTTTTTATCCCCGCGTATTGATTTTATTTTAATTTCAGTTGCTTTTTAGTGCAATCTACAGACCGCCATTCTGTGGTTGCTATGTGAATCATATATAAAAAAAAAACAAAAACATTCAGTGCGATTCAAATTTGCATCCATTTTTTCTCGGGAAATCTGTTTCAACGCGACAGCTGTTTTACTGATTAGATCATGGAGCCGGCAGGTAGTCATTCAGATTTAATTATTTAACCATTTCTTGTCGTTGTTCTTGTCTGACACGATAACATGGCTAAGTTTTTAAAGTTGTGATAAAAACCAAATTAAGATAACAGCATTACTAGTTGACAATGTAGGTTACAGAACGTTGAAAACAATATCTTTTTTATTTAAGTTAACAGTCTTTTACATTTGTTTTTATAAGATGGATGACCTCATCCACTGGTTTTCTGTCTCTTTTCCAATATTTTTGACTAGCAGTAGAGCTCGGCATTGCCCGGGCATGTAACAGTAAGAGATAGATCAAGTATCGACCATCATAAAGACTGAAAAATAAAATTGACAAAGATTATTGTTTAAGGTTGACGGACACGCATGTCTTAATTAGTTTTCTTTTTTTTTCTTTTTCTTTTTTTTTTTTTACGAATTGTTCAAACTCAAACAAAAACATTGTTTTCAATCGTTATAGAATTTTATTATAAACAATTGTCTTGTAAATGGAATTTTTAAAGCATTCTGAATGTTAAAATAAAGAAAAAAGTGTGCAAGACAATAAGAAACACTACCTGCCAAAAAAATGTGAAGTTTTGTTGAAATCGTTTGAAAAATGTAGGAAATTCGATCCCATATATAAATGAACACACACACACACACACACACACACACACACACACACACACAAACAACCTGGGTTTTATAATAAGTATAACTCGATATGAGGTGTCCCCCTTTCATTCTCGAGATGCCGCTTAATCGTGTTTTCAAATTGATTTCGTGCAAAAACAATTGTGTTTTTCCAATGTTTAGCGATGTCAGAACCACCGCGAGGTAATTTTATGTAGTCCTGTGAAGTTTTGTTGAAATCGGTTGAAAAATGTAGGAAATCCGATCCAATATATAAACGTACACACACACACACACACACACACACACACACACACACACACACAACCTGGGTTTTATCATAAGTATGATGATGCTTCTAGTAACCACATCTACTGCGCTTATGCCATAGCTCTTTATCAGCATCTAGCCATTCTTATTAGATTCTCTAGACATGCAATACGATCTGAGTAACCAATCTCTAAGCTTAGTTCAAAATTCAGTGACAAATTCCTGAAGATACAAGTTAGATGTCGCATCAGTTGTTCTAATTCCAAATAGAAACCGTCCTGGGTATGACGATAAACTACGTTTTGAGGATCCTGGATCCACCTCTTAATTGCTGATGTTCCTAGGTCCACCCTGACCCGGAGTGATAGCACCTGTTAGGGGTCCCAGCTATCGGCAAATAGTTAACCCCGAAACTGACGTAAAAAGCATTATAAAAGTGTAAAAATGGGTTTTAATATCAGAGATACTTTGTAAAAGAATTTTTACCAGAAATAAATTTTTGAAGAAAAAAAAACTATTTTAAAATAATATTACCAGCTATACATTTTTGAGGAAAAAAATATTACCAGAAATAGATTTTTGATAAAAAACAAAATATTACCAGGAAAAAAAGTTGGTGGTATTAAATAACCCAATGAGGTTGACATACCGTAACAACACACAACAAACCAAACCAAATCAAATCAAACCAAATAGAAAGCCGTTTTAATTCACTAATCAAAACACCACTGCTTCCTTTTAGGTATGACTAGCAGCATGGCCCGGCGTTGCCCGTGCTTGATTCAAAATACGTACGACACATACAGCAATCGATATCACTTGACTTAAAATATTTTTGCCCTTCCTTGCTTTTAAAGAGTGCCCTTTTCCGTGCTGATGTTGCTACATGCCTTACTTCTTGCCTATCTCACACTGCGAATTTTTTCTAAGCTCTATACTAAACATTAAATCTGTTACGAAAAAAGAACTAAACAAAATGAACACAAAACGATCAGCTTTAAAAAAGGACTCGTAACTGGAAAAACCAAATGAAAAAAGAATGTTAACAACAAATACTTTTTCACACCCAACCCAGTTCTGCGGAATCAGAATCAACGTTGAGTTTAAGCAAGCGAATGAGCCAATTGGAGGAAAGTGCGATGCAGATTTAAATTTTTCCCACTTGTGACGAATGCAGCTACCGATTTTTTTTGCATACTAGCATGCTAGTTAACATTCGTGTCAGTCAGCTATTGGCTCTCACGCTGGCCAATAGAATCTTCCTGCCTATTCGTGGCAGCCAGCTATTGGCTCTCACTCTGGCCAGTAGAAAATGGCCGCAAACTACATGAAAACTGCCGCAGAAGCATGAAAAAAATCGATTATTTCCACTATCGATGGGAGTTGGGAAATGCAAAGTCGGCCTTGGCCTTTTCGCTAACTTGGAGCATGTGCATGTCAATTTTGGTGCAAATCCGTCGAAAATTGCGGCCGTGCATTCGTTACACACACACAGACAGACACACACACATCCTGCCTTTTATAGATAGAGATACAATGAAATAGCAAACAGGAAACTATGAAAAGTAACCTCGTTCCTCTTCTTTCGTTATTTCTTTCTCTTTTATGCTGGATTTTAATCCACTCTCGGCTGCGGTCATACGGCATCTCCTTATCACCAACTGCCATTCATCATTCAGCGCGTTCTATATTCTTGATTGATAAAGCAATCTACGAAGTTCACAGACTGATACGAAGATGTTACTACTTTGAAAAACGTCGACCGAAATGTTGTGCAAAAAAAAAAAACCAAAAAAAAAAAAAAAAAACCAGCAAAGATGTGGATATTTATAGAATAATCTCACAATATCAAACGAAATGTCTTCTTCCAAAAAGTCTCTTCTTTAGATCCTATTTCATAAAGGTATATTGTTGTTAGCTAATGGCCTGCAAGACGATCGCGGGTCATTACGAAACTTTGACAAATAACGAAACCTGTTATTATATTAACATTTCGCAATCCCCTGATCTGCAATTTACAGGAGAGCGGTGAATGTTTACAATTACCACAAACACGGAGACGAGATTTGATGCAACCCAAATGTGCTTCTACAGAACGATGCTAAGAATACCTTGCACTTAAAATGTGATTAATGATTGATTTTTAAGGAAAATGGAAACAAAAGTGTAGCTTAAACTTAGAATCAGAAAGAGACAAATGAAATTTCTAAAACAAATAGAGCAAACAAGGCCAGTGGAATTTGATATTCGCATAACGTATTACAGGAAAGAGAAGTAAAAATAAACATCGAGAAACCTACCTAATGAGTTTGTATAAATGGATAAACATTGGGAGGGTTTGGTGAAAAGATAAACCTAACTAAAAGCTACAAAGGATAGGAAATTGTGGAGAGCCGTGATCGCCCAATAGTGGATCAGCGCTTTTGTAGGCGAACTTCGGGTTATGATCAAAGTGTAGTATCTCTTTGCTTTCTCTTAAAGTTATGACGGTAAGCTTCTCCTGGGGATCTCCATCCCTGTGGGAGCACGTTCCTCATTTCACTAAAGGAGAAAGATCATCCCATTTTAAACCGACATTGTGTCACCTCCTTTCGCCGTGGGAATATGGTAAATACCGACAGAAGATCGATGCGTACTTTAAAATCTCAAGATTAATTTTGTATCTAAGCAGTGTCGCTCGAAGATATTTTCCAAACATTATAAATAGATTTGGGATCAAAGTTGATAATCTTAAGTTAGTCAAAGTTCCTGAACAGTGCTTAGATTTCTCTCTATAGGCGTGGTTTGATGGCCAGGAGCATCTTAGTGTGATGAACTTTTAATATATTTTATCTACTTTATTGGACACATCGCTTTTGGTCGTTGTAGAAATCAGAATTGAATTAACCTCTTTGAGTTCGTTTCGAAGAAATAATGCCTATTGCGGTGAATGAAAATACACCGTAAACATGAAAACATTTGCTTTGTGCACTTGAAATAGTTCATAGGCTCGTGGATTTCAAGAAGATTTGTTCGAATTGTACACTTAAAATATTCAGGTGATGGCAGCTTCTTTGAGTGAGGAAGAGATTTCACCTGAGAGAATTTCCGGAAGATCTTCGGGTTCTGGAGGGTGTTCGAATGAGTAACTGTCTTTAGCTTGAGATGTACAATTTTCAGATGTGTCCAGGGATTGTTCCATTTAAGGAGCTTGGTCTGGTTTCAGTCACTTTCCTACCTCTTCCGCGCCTTTTCCATAAATATTACAATTGTTCGAAAGGACTTTCCCATTTGGTACCGCGACTTTTCGAATTTAAGCGCAGTACTAGATTAGCAAGTAGGTCTCATCATTTTACAATTGAAATGGCCAGATTTGATCGTAAGTTCTATGCTAACAGTTTCCTTTCTCACACTTCTCTTTTGTAGATGTCTCTTTCGGTTTCTTGCTTGCCAGTCAACTTTGATCTTCGAAAATTAAAATGCAATGTCAATCGTCATCGTCTGTTTTTCTTATTTTTATTCTTTTATTGTTCTCTCTCTTTAACAGCGTTTTCTTTTTATCATATTCTTTTACAATAATCCTTGCTTTAGTAGTTTTATTATAGGAGATGATTAAAAAATATTCTTACGATTAAATGAGAGTTGTTCATGCGAAGTAAGGAGGTCAGATGAAGAAAGGTTTTCGGGCGAAGTAGGATATTCGTAAGAGACACATCAAACGATGCAGGGTATTCGAGAGACGAGAGATTGTTCGGACGAAGAACAGCCATGCGAGAGACGTTGTTCCAGTTTGATACCGTGGTGAACAGCCATGCGAGAGACGTTGTTCCTGTTTCATACTGTGTTGAACGGCCATGCGAGAGACGTTGTTCTTGTTTGATACCGTGGTAAACAGCTATGCGAGAGACGTTGTTTCTGTTTCATACTGTGTTGAACAGCCACGCGAGAGACGTTATTCTTGTTTGATACCGTGCTGAACAGCCATGCGAGAGAGGTTGTTCCTGTTTGATACCGTGGTGAACGGCCATGCGAGAGACGTTGATCCTGTTTGATACGGGGGTGAACAGCCATGCGAGAGACATTGTTCCTGTTTGATAATATAGTGAACGGCCATGCAAGAGACGCTGTTCCTGTTTGATACCGTGGTAAACAGCCATGCGAGAGACGTTGTTCCTGTTTCATACTGTGTTGAACAGCCATGCGAGAGACGTTGTTCTTGTTTGATACCGTGGTGAACGGCCATGCGAGAGACGTTGTTCTTGTTTGATACCGTGTTTAACGGCCATGCGAGAGACCTTGTTCCTGTTTGCTACAGTGGTGACTCGACGTTTAAGAAGGAAATATCTGACATTCGGTACAAACGTTTGAAAGATTTTTTTATAAAAATAAAGATTTCAAATTTTCAAATCTGCATATCGTGTAATTGTTGCAATTCTTTTTTTGCGAAATAATCGAAATTTGATATTTGAAAAAAAATTTCTCCAGAGTACAAATTCAAAATTCAAATCGATATTGTAAAAAAAAAGATGATTTTCTGTCCGTCACCGATTATCTGTGTATGTAATTTATATAACTATGTCCGTGCTATGCGTGAGTGATTTGCATGCTCTTACACTATTTGATGTATATGCAAGAACACACGTACAACCCTATACACACATTTTTATTGAGTCTGAAATAAGACATTGAAGTAATACGTTCCCTTCCCACCCAATCTGGACAACAGCTATCCTGAGCTGAGTAATAAAATAATAACAAATATGACACGAAAAAGACGTTAATTATTAAACCCTGAAATGTCAGATAATTATAAAATTTTATTGAACTTTCAGGAAAATATTCTTTAATATATAAAATTATATTCCAAAGTAAATTTTAGGATTTCACTAATGGCCCCATTACATTGAAACCCGTGTTCCCGTACGTTCACCCAAGTTAAGCAACATGGAGTCTGATCAGTGCCTGGTTGACCGTTTGTCAATACCAGGTGTTGTAAGTTTGGATGTACGGGTGGTGTAATGGATAAGTGCTCCGAATTCTTACTCGGAGAGCCGAGTTCCAATCACAGTTGTGTTCGTTAATTAATTGAAACAAAACAAATTCCGTTATTATTTAATTTTTTCGTATTTTTCCAATAAAACATGGCCCAGTGCACATGTTAGTTCTTTTTATGTCCATTTCTCGAAATCGTTCCTTGCAGATTGACCACAGATTCTGGAATGCATTTAAATCAAGAGTGTTTCCGAGCCAGTCTATAGAACTTTGATTTTCTCACTGGTAATGCTTGCCAGCGTGTTCTTGTAGCGTTACAATTTTCTTACGCTACCTTGGTGTAACGCCCATCGCAGACAATAGCCGTAGGACAACTAATCGACAGTCGAGACGATAGTGTCTGGGCGTGATGAAAATCTGATGCAATCACGGTTGACACAATATTTTTCAAGGCGAAACAAATAGCATCGCATACCTCGAAAACAGATTCATATTACAGCACACCACTACAAATCAGCTAATCTGAGGGGAAAATAGAAATCGATTACATCCTGTCAATCCAGTGGGACTTAAACTGACCGCATGGTGAAAGATAGAAAACTAAAGCGTTTGTTTCAATTGACTTGCACAGGAGTGTATATCGCCTAAAGAAGGCCGGAGCGTTCAACGACTGAAATGTGAATATGAAAATAACGATATGGATAACAGTCCGAATGATGTAAGTAGTGTAAATGGTAGATGCGGCTGGAGGAACATAAATAAAGTAGGATCAATAAGTCTGTATATACAGTACTGTTCGATAAAAGTGACTCACCTGATTTTTTTTACTAAATGTTCTCTTCTCCGATGAAAGGAAAGTTGAGCTAAATTCAAAGGATAAGCGATCTAAAATCCGAAAAAGCTTTGATTGAAAGCTCTTTGAAGTTAGCAGTAAGTACTGTCAAGCATCCGTTCAGTATAATGTTCTGGGGATGCTTTTCTTTTCATGGAACTGGTTTCTTAAGACCTATTGAAAAGAACCTTCGGAGCAAGCAGTACAAGAGAATTTTAGAGTCTTGTCTGCTCCCTTCTGCTGAAAGGGTGCAAATCGACTCCACCAAGCTCATTTTTATGCAGGATAATGCTCCCTGTCACAAATCAAAATTGATGAAGGAATACTTTGATGAGAAGCAGGTGAATGTTATGACATGACCGCCCCAATCTCCTGACCTCAACCACATAGAAAACTTATGGAGCATTATAAAGTACAGGCTCTCGAGAAAGCAGTTGAACAACATGCTCCATAAGATTCGAAAAAAATTGTGGTCCTCTGTCGACTTCGCGCCAATTTAGTCTTACGCCCAAAATGTAGACAAAGGCAATCCATCACTGTCAAAATACCACTTCTACGAGGTATGCTAGCCAATCGCTTGCTATCCTGGCCCAACCATCGAAATCTGTAACACGATTCAGCCTCTCCAGATTCCTTTCCTTTATCTGAAAATTGCCACGGCTTCTTTGGAATTCTAGCGGAGTAGTCTCCCATTGCCTTCGCCATGGTTTTGAATTCAAACTCGCCCTTCTCATAAACTAGTTATCACTCAAGGCTAGAGAGACAAGGTTACTCCGCTATGTAACCCATATCTTGGAGTGAAGAAGAGATAGGTTCATGTAAATGTTCAGATTTCAACAAATAAATTTAAACTGTGGAGTATGGTAACCAGCCTGGTAAGTCTATGACTCCATAAACCATATTTGATAGATAGATAGATAGATAGTTAGATAGATAGATAGATAGATTGATTGATTTTATCACATGGATAAAGTATTTCCTAATAGTACCAGAGTTTCCTGTTCGAACCCAGGTAAATGCAAATATTTTGAAAAGGGATTTTCCAGGCATCACCTCTTTCAGCTTTCAATTTAACACCGTTTCATCTTTACAAATATGAAGTAACCATTTGTTTTCTGTCGTTTCGTTTACGTCTTTCGTAAAATAGCACAAACAATGATAAATTCAATCAGATGCGAAATAACTCCCTTACAAGTATCAGGCTTATATTGTAAATTCGAGATAAATAACAGTGTAGAAATAATGATCTCAGCACTTAATAGAACACATTGGAGTAAACAGTGTCTGGAATATTTAAAATCTAATAATTAGAAAAAGAAGAGTCCTTACTTGAAGACGGCCACTTCATTACTTTCTCAAAAGAATCTTTTCCAACGACTGCCGAGACAAAATAATTAAGTTATATGTTGGCTATAAAAGATTCAAGAACACATTTCAGCAGAGCTTTCCGCTTTTATTAAGCTTGATTATAAGAAAAAAAAACACTACTGATATTTAAAAAGATTAGTTTCATTTGACACAAAGCGACAAGCTGGGTCGCCCATAAATTGATGCATCTCATTACATCTGAGACTTCACTTGCAAGTTGATCCGGAGAACTACAGTAGAGCAGACTGTAATCTGGTGTACGAAGCGACAAGTTGGGTCACTCCCAATAGGTATACACCACACTACATTTGGGAATTGGCTTACAGAACGATCTTGCAAACAATCATGTTTGTTTATATTTCTGAGATGAGATTGATATATATATATATATATATATATGTGTGTGTGTGTGTGTGTGTGTGTGTGTGTGTGTGTGTGTGTAAGCAAATATATGGATATAGATCCGACAGTATGAAGAAAAATATACAGAAAAAACAAACAAAAATCTTAATATGCAATTATGCTGTATTAATGTTAATATAAAGTCAACGTCGGACGTTTCGGTCTATTTTAGACCATCTTCAGGACATTTTCATTTAAACAACATCGCCCACGTGACGACGACGTGATCATATTTAAACGGAACGCTGATCTTATATAAAAATTTCAGTTATCTTTTGGATTAGTTGGGCTCTTATGTCCATCGTCTTTTCGTGTTGAATTTTTATATGTTCTAATGTTAATTATGTTTAAATGAAAATGTCCTGAAGATGGTCTAAAATAGACCGAAACGTCCGACGTTGACTTTATATTAACATTAATACAGCATAATTGCATATTAAGATTTTTGTTTGTTTTTTCTGTATATTTTTCTTCATACATATATATATATATATATATATATATATATATATATATTGTGGCTCTTAAGTTTCATGCTTTTTCCGTTTTCCTTTCTTATTTCAAGTTGTATGCACCCGTAGATGGCTTTATAAACCCGCCAAACTGCGCCAAGTTTTACCACAAACTGGAGATTGTAGATCGTTTTGTTTCACATGAATGTTAATTTGCGTAATGCAGGTTGGACATGTTTGAGCAGATGACTTTTGAGACCCGCATGTGAGAGACAGGGTTTTCTGCCAATGTCACAGTTGACGTGGGGACCTTGTGGACCTGGTGCTGGACCTTGTTCATCCTTGTTTGAAAGTGGCATACTGGACACGGCTATATTCAAAGGATTCTATACCGCCATGAATCATTTTGCGCCACGGAGCCCTATCCAATGATATCGTTTGCCACTGATTTACCGATATGCTAGATTGCCACGGGCAACATTTTACAAACTCCTTAAATCTTTTCTTAAGTTTTGATACATTTCTCTTGTATCTCTCTCTCTCTCTCTCTATATATCTCTATATATATATATATATATATATATATATATATATATTAGGTTGATGCAAAAATAATGACGTAATAATGTCGTTTTTGACGTATTTTTAACGTCAAAAAACGACATTATTACGTCATTATTTTTGCACCAACTCAATATATATATATATATATATATATATATATATATATATATATATATATATCGAGAGAGAGAGAGAGAGAGAATGTATATATACTATCACATCGAATGAAAAATACTATTAAAATTGCAGATTCAAATTGAGCACACACCTCGTGTCAGGCTACAGACTTATTGATCCAACTTTATTCATGTTCATCCAACCGCATCTATTTCAATGAATTTTTCCCTGGGTAGATTCTTCTATATTCCAGCTAAACTTCTTTATACCTCTTTTCTTAAGGTTCGAATACTGTCATAAAGACGTCTGTCTAATTTTGTTTGGAATAACATATTGAGCATATAGACCCGAAATATATTAAGGAAAATAGCGTAACCAGTCCCCCCCCGCTACAAGAAAAATAACGAGAAAGAAATCCCAGAAGATTTTCAAAGCAGAAATTACTCTTTACAAATGGAAACTAGAATAATGAATGATATTCGAATTTAGAAAGCAAAGTTGGTTTTTCTTATTTCTTTATAAAACAAAATTTCATTTATTCTTTCCCGGTCGTATTTTATATAAGATTCGGTGTCTTTTGAGAAATTTTATTTGTTCAATACTTTTCCTTCTATTTTTTTTTCTTTTTTCAAAATTAAATTTTGCCTGTTTTAATCTCTTTCTCAACAAATTCATTCTCGAATTATCGATTTTTATTTCGAAGTTCTTTTCAGCTTTCACATCGATAAACAGAATTTCTCTGCCTCTTGGAAATATTGGTATGAGTAATTTCCATATTTGCTTCTTTTTTTTTTTTGGTTGTTGTTGTTTAATTTTATTTATTTTTTTGCGTTAATGTTTTTCTCATTCGTATTTCCCCGGCTATCTTTCTTATCTATTTTTTTATATCATTGTTGTTTATTACGGAATTCTTTTGAAGGATTGTTTCATTCAGAAAATAAATAAATAAATTTTAAGCGAAAGCTCTTTGTATATTTCAAATTAATTTTTTTTCAAGCTTTCTGTTTTTAAATTCACTTTTTAATGAACGTATTTTTGCAATCTGCTCGTGACTGTAAAACCAGAATTATACTGTCTTTAAGTTGTCCGAATTTCTCAGATAAAGCGTTCTTCTTATTATTATTATTAATTTTTTTTCCCCCGAGTTTTTCTTCCATATTATTTTTTTGGTTTGTTTACACATTGTAGTAGTCACGTGATGGAAAATGGACGACAGAGGTGAAAACGTTTTACTGACACGTTTCGTTCCAATCAGGAACTTCATCAGACAATGCTTTTATTTTATATATAGGAAAAATGAGGAAAATTCTTTCGATGGGAAAAATACAAAAAGAAGCAGTAACAGTTTACATCAAAACATTCAAGATGGTAATTTTACATTTAATTTTTTCATTGTAGGTTTAGTTTTGCTTATTAAATGACATATCAACGATTCTTATCGAATATAGGTCATATAGGTTGAGAATTACAATGAACTAATAGATAAATAGACATAGGTCCAGTTTACATTAGAAGCAAAATGGTAATCATAGGTCCGATTTGTAAAGTCAAAAAGGCACCCGAGTCCAGTTTACACTAGATTTAAAAAAAAGAAGACATGTGTCCGCAGTTACACTAGAGTAAACACGTAAATATAGATTCGGCTTACACTTAAGTTAAAAAGGTAGACATAGGTTCGTTTACACTACTCAAAAAATGTAAATGTATGTCTTGTTTACACTAAATAAAAAGTTAGACATAGGTTCAGTTTACACTAAATAAAAAAAGTAGACATAGTTTCGGTTTACACAAAATAAAATGGAAGACATAGGTTCATTTTACACTAAATAAAAAAGGTAGACATAGTTTCAGTCTACACAAAATAAAAAAGGAAGGCATAGGTTCGGTTTACACTAAATAAAAAAGGTAGATTATGGTCGGTTTACACTAAATAAAAGAGCTATACATAGGATCGGTTTATACTAAATAAAAAAGGTAGAGATACGTTCAGTTTAGACTAAATAAAAAAGATAAACATAGGTTCGCTTTACACTAAATAAAAAAGTAGACATAGGTTCGGTTTACACTATATAAAAAAAGGTAGATATAGCTTCAGTTTACACTAAATAAAAGAGGTAGACATAGACTCGGGTTATACTAAATGAAAAAGGGAGACATAGGTTCAGTTTACACTAAATAAAAAGTTGACTTAGATTCGGTTTACATTTGTAAGGTAGCAGCGAGACGACGTGTATCTGCCTCGATACTCGTTGCCGTGAATGTCTTGTTTAAGTAGCCCACTCTCGCCTCTCATGTAAGCGGGCGAGTCTACTTCTATGGGGGTGTGACGCCAAGACCATTCCGGTCTTGTAACTGGGCGTCTTAGGTTCGATTCCACCTCTACAACATTGAATAAAAATGGTAAACATAGGTCCTGTTTACATTCAAGACTAATACGTATCTTGATTGTATTGCTTTAACCTCGAAATTTCTATTGGAGAAAATATCCATGATATAAACCAAAATGCATGGCAGCGACACCAAGTGGAAGAAATATGCAAATGTCATTTTTATTATGAATTTAAATAATAATAAAAGCAAACGGTACATAACACTGGTTATTACTTATATCAATATCCCACATTGAATGCGATATTTGCAAAACTCATAATGATTAAGCAATATTTGTAGAAGAAAAATCATCGATGTATTAATATTAATATAAAGCTGCAGTAGGGATTATCTGACCACTTTGGCAGACTAGCAAACATGGGAACGAGAAGCCAGACTTGATTTTCTTTGGGGGTTAGAATTATTAGTCTGTGGATTTCTAAAATACACGTTTTTTACTATTCATTTTAATGTTATTTCTGTCGCTTTTTATCGCAAATATCACATTACTATTCTTCGCCTAATAACTGCAATAAAAGATTTAAAAAAAAACAAGGTGAATGTCCAGTAAAACAATTAATAATACCACTTATTTATCGCTTTTGGACAAGAGGTTTTGCTAATCGAGTAGCAAAACATTTAATACTTTTCCTGATGTCTGTAAATTTTGACAATGTGTGTTCATTGTCTATGTTTCCGTTATCGTTCTTGATAAATCGTTTGAGTAAAAATAGATTCAGATTACTTGATTGGTTGCCTTTTGTAAAAAAAAAAAAG